ACGAAAACAAGGATTATGAATGACGTTGCCTTTGAGTCCTACTCGTTGGCATTTGTCACACTGCTCAATAAATCTACGAGCATCCTTAAAAAGAGTAGGCCAGTAGAAACCGCTCTATAGTACCTTAACAACTATCCTTTCCCCACTGAAGTGTCCTCCATAGTCTAATCCATGGCAGTGCCAGAGAATTCTTCCAATTTCTTCTTCAGGAACACACATCCTGATTATGCTATCACCACATCTCTTAAATAGAAGTGGTTCATCCCAGAAATAGAATTTCACATCATGTAAAAAAAAAATTTCTTTGTTGAAAATTGAGATCATGAGGAATTATCCTTGCTGCCTTAAAATTAGCAAAATCCGCAAACCATGGCAATGAAGCTACTGTTAAGAGTTTCTCATTTGGGAACTCTTTTGAAATAGGTGTAAATGCTGACAATAACCTTAGACGTAACAAGATAGGATCTAAATTTATCAAATGCAAATACCACAACAAGTAATTCTTTTTCAGTTGTGGCATAATTCTTTTGGCCTTCATTCAACACACGACTAATATAATATATCACATGAAACATTTTCTCTTTTGCAGTAATCAAACTTTAAAAGAATGACAATAGAAAAATTAAATTTCTTTTGTAGTAAAATATATGCTAGAGGATTAATTTCATATCCCTTCTTACAAATTCCTAGCATATTTAATTGATGTAAGAATTAACTTTACCTACTAGAGTTAAAAGTGTTATTCACTTCCTAATCCCTTAGGTAAGTAAAATTATTCACTAAACTTTTAATTTCCCAATTCCTTGGAAGAAGAAAAATTCACTGAAACTTGGATGATTAATATTTTGCTCCACAGAAACTAGTTAAGCTTGTATAATTTTCCAATTAAACAAAAACCCAACTTACCTTATCTATTAACATAAACAATATCAATTTTTCCAAATATAACTTCTTAAAATTAAACATAAAAAATCATAGATAAAGTACTGGAGTAAATGAAATTACAATGCATCAAGATAAATAGGTTCAGAATTTGTCTTACAGAATATTACATTAATCCTCTAACATAGGAAAAAAGTTTAGCCTTCCATCAAAGTTTCTCAAAACTTAAAACCTACAAAAAAACTTCTACACTACTTCCTTCTTCGATGCCCCTGGCTCTGCTCTCTCCTCAACTTTTTAACTTCCGTAGCCCACTTTCCACGTCAGCCCTCCTTTTTGCACTTCTGCCTTTTCCTGTTTCAGCCTAAGCCCAATAGCAAAGAAAATTAAGAATTCCACTGTCAGCCTATGAGTGATGCCAACCACGCAAGATCACACTAAAATTGTTCTAATTGCACTTGTTTTTTCAACAAAACACAAAGACTATACTACAAGTTAAATGCAACGGTAATATATAAAAATATTGTTCAACTATTACAAAAATGCATGCAATTGACCTAATTTAATCTATAAATACACAAGCACACGCACCCACTTATTAAAGGATAACAAATAATATATATTGAACAAATAATTAAAAATTAGTCATCATAACAAAATTAATTATTAATGGATACAAATAATTCATGGTATGGTACGCTTAATTACATAGTAAACAATATAAAACTAACTTCCTTATATTAGCAAAATATTTTAATAGAGAAAAAAACTTGAAATGTTAGTTTTTTAAAAAGGTATCATATGTGTTTTTCAAAAAATTACAAAATTTATAAAAATTCATAAAAGTAAGAAAATTAATACTAACTTTAGTTTTGACAGGTTCAAAGATTTAGATTTTTCTCCCTTTTTCTAAGTCAATTTTTATGAAATTTCTATCATATTAAAAGACAATTCATGTATGTTTTTGAGTAGGTATCTTTTGTCCTTAAACTTGTTCTACATTGTTTCTAGTTTACTAACAACTTAAAAAAAAAAAATTTAGGAATACATGCAACATGTTTAACCAATACATTACGATAGAACAAACACATTGTAAGTATAAACGACCTTCTTTTAAAACTCTTAAAAAAATGTTAAACATAAAAAGTTGTTTAATTTTGTATCCTCTTGCATTTAAGACCAACTTTAAAATTTCTAACAATGGAAAATTCAAGAATCCAACCAGTGCCCTACTAACCAACCATAGATTTTAACATGTACAACTCTTAGTAAAAATTATTAGAAAGTTTGGCATGGTCAATTTGTATTTAGAACATCCTATGAAAATATTAAGTCAAAATATCAAAACTATATTTTATTAAATTTCATAAGAAACAACTTTACATAAAATTTTCTACAACTAAAAAATAAATCAAAATGCAATATCTTTTCTCTATCAAATATGAACATACATACTCATGGATGAAACATATCAATAATTTTTTAACTAGACAAGGAGAAAACCCTTATCTTATATGAAAAAGCATAGCAAAAATAGGAAAAGTTGCATCGAAGATGTCTCATGGAATAATATATGAAAAGATTTTGTTTTGTATCTTTGATTTCCTTTGGTGAGTCTTAAGAAGTGAAAACCTACTCGCTCTTATATTTGATTGATTTCCTTTGGTGAGTCTTAAGAAGTGAAAACCTACTAGCTCTTATATTTGAAAGAACATATTGAGGAAATATGGTCAAATTTGAGTGTGGTGAGTGGTGAGTGATGAGTAGAGGTGACAATGAAGTTTTTAGCAACTAAATACATAATTAAAATTTTAATTGTAATAAATTATTTTCTAAATTATAATTTTACTATACTTGTTTTGAAAACATTGATAATCTTTATAAAAAATGGCTTTGAATAAAGTTTTTAAAAATATTTTGACAATGAGTATTAAAGTGTCATTTGGTAATATTAAAAGACTACATGATAATGTATTGTTTAATAGAATTATTTTGCAACACTATCTAGAGACCATTTAAAGCTAATAAGAACTTACATAATGATTTCACACTCGATTTAAAAATATTTTTTAAAATAAATAAATAGTGAATCAGATATGTAAAGAAATAAGATAACAAAAATAAATACATAATTATTTATATTAGTTCACAAAAATCAAGAGTTACGTAAAGTTTCCTTTAAAAACATTAAAAGGATTTTATTGTAATCACGAGTTCTCCAAGTTGTTCCTAACTAATAATGTTAATCTCCTCTTAAGACAAATAACATGAATATTATTTGTTATTTTTTTTGTTACACTAATAATTGTTAAATGAGTATAATCATTTGGAAAATTTTCACATAAAGGATAAGCAATAAAGCCTTTTAATAGAAGTTTTAAGTGAAATCCAAAATTTCAATATTTCTTGGAAATGATTCTTTACTTTATATTTTTTATATTTTCTTCTTTGCACAAGGTATCTCTTTTAATATCTTGATATTATTTTTATTTTTAAGTCTATAAAATTTAAATAAAAGATAGCCTGAAATATTATTTTTTTTCCATTAAGCCTTACATTGAATTTACTTGATTTTATATTTTAAAAATAATTAAATAAAAACTTATATATAACCACAGTAAAGATAAAAAGCTGTAAAATTGATCGCGCTTTGTGATCTATTTTATCCTGTCTAGAAACCTTAAAACTTCACAGACATGGCCACACATATCATGTTTGCAATCCTAAAACTTATATCGACAACTGAATATATTTGCGTGTTGGGTACATACGTACGTTTGTACATATATATACATCATGTCTGTACTAATATATAATATATGCATGTTTATGAATGTCTATTTTGAATATATGTAAATTGTTTAAAAAATTATTATTAAACCGTAGTTTATTATATAATAATAATAATAATAATAATAATAATTTGCTTATTTTTATTTGTACTAATATAAAGATTATGTCAATATTTACAATTTTTTTTATACAATTTTATTCTTACAATGGTTGTGATGCATTTTTACTTGTAACTATTAACTAGTAATAATAATAACTCTTAAAGTTATATTTAAAATTAAACATATCTACATTTGATTAAGAGTATAAACATTTTTATATTAACATGACATAGAAGTCAAATAAAAATATATGGGAGATTTATAGTGGTCACGTATCATTAATTAGTTTTTAATTTTGGATCATCCATGCAATGTTTGTACAATAATATATGAAGTTTTCACCAAATTAAAACCTCTCTCAGTGTATAGTTAGAATAAAATGATTAAGGTGGTGAACTGAACAAAATTCTACCATCATCCCTCCAATTTTAAAAGCATTAGACATTGAGGAAATAAAGAAGATGATTAGGGTGAATTTCCTCGTTAAAATTGTTAAGGGCTTTGCAAGGTCACAAAGTAAGGTTGTGATTGGTTAGGAGAGGGAGGAGAGGAAGAGCATGTTAGGTCTGGGAACCACGACAGAGAAGAGGAACAAAACACGCCAACAAAAAAGCACTGGCATAGGGGCACCTTGTCCTTAACCTCCACCTTCATCACAAGGACTTTGTCTTTCTCCCAGTCTTCAACACGACGCCGTTCCTCCCCTCAACAAATTATAAATTAATAATAATTAAACATTTTTTACATAATATTTCTTTTTTAATGAACTTATTTATTTGCTGTTGGCATTGCTTTCTCACTCATCGACTTTTCCGTTTTCTCCCATTGGCCAATTCGGCCACTCTCCTTCTCCACCAAAATCCTCTGCGGTTCTTCCGGTTATCCGCTTCGCTCCCGTTCCCCACCACTCTCTCTCTCTCTCTCACTCTCCCACAACTTCCCTACTTCGCTTAGTTAACAACTAAACACTTCACCGAACGCATTTCGTTCACCAATTCGTCGCCGTCTCGTGTCAATCGATTCGTCTCGCGGTGAGTTTTCTTTTTTCTTTCTGATTCAGTTTGCAGATAGATCCGTTTCGTCGTTTCGCGCTCGTGTTTTTTATGCGCGTGTAGCCACGCGCCGCTTTATGCTTATAACGGTTAGGTCTTGGATCTGAATGAATAGTGTTTTGTGTTTGGTGTTGGATCTGACAGGTTGGAGAGATCGGAGGGGAGAGGAGCCATGACGCATCGAGTGGACCACGAGTATGACTACCTGTTCAAGATCGTTTTGATCGGAGACTCAGGTGTTGGCAAGTCCAACATCCTCTCCAGGTTCACTCGAAACGAGTTCTGCTTGGAGTCCAAATCCACTATCGGAGTGGAGTTCGCCACCAGGACTCTTCAGGTACTTCTGCTTCCTTTTCCTTTGCTGATTTTTTCGTAGCGAATAAGTGTGCTTCTCTTCATTGGTTGTTTGCTTTTTAGATTTCTGGATTGTGTTGTTATTTTTCTCCTTCTGCTTGGATTTCTACTAGCTATTTGCATGGATAGATAGGTATTCGAGTATGGTCATTATTTTCTTTTTTTTTTTTATCTTTGCTTTAAATGATTGATTGAATAGCTTATTTATAGCTCAGATCCTTTTCAGATGAAATAAATAGCAAGGTTTTAAGTGGCGCTCGCGGTTTTGCTGTGATCTTGATGTTACATGAATTTGCGGACATAAATGTTGATGTTGTGATCAAAATTGCGATGGCAGAGTGTTTTTCAAAACCTTGATGACTAGACTGTTTTTGAGGAATGATTATAGCTTTCGTTGCTATGATCAAGTGGGGAAGCACTTGGGGTTATATTTTATATAATATAATAATTAAACAGGTGTCTGAAATCCTAGCTGAATTTTGTACCTTCAGATGGGATGGATAACTTCGTAGTTAATCAAGGTAATTTATCTTTTAACTTAGGACTAATATTATATGGTGAGTTTTGTTGAAAGTTTTTGGTTATATATGTTTGGTTTCTTGAATTGGATGGATGATTGTCTAATTTTGAACAAGTTTTTAAATTGCAGTTGTAGTTTTGTTATGATCTTTTGATATTACTGAAAATTACAAACACAATAATACTGCAATTCACTTTGCGTTTGGAGACTCATGAAACCTCAATATTGCTGTCAAAATCACTGTTGCATACTATTTTGAAAACCTTGATTATGAATTCTTGTTTGTATTTCTGCAGCACTAATTTTTCTTTGTCTACAGGTAGAGGGAAAGACTGTGAAAGCACAGATCTGGGACACAGCAGGTCAGGAGCGGTACCGAGCCATTACCAGTGCTTATTACAGAGGAGCTGTCGGTGCTCTACTTGTATATGACATAACTAAGAGACAAACCTTTGACAATGTCCAAAGGTGGTTGCGTGAGCTGAGGGACCACGCGGATTCTAATATAGTTATCATGATGGCTGGAAATAAATCTGATTTGAGCCATCTAAGAGCGGTTTCAGAGGACGATGGTCAAACCTTGGCAGAGAGGGAAGGTCTCTCGTTTCTTGAGACATCTGCACTGGAGGCGACCAACATTGAGAAGGCATTCCAAACCGTTTTGACCGAAATTTATCATATTGTTAGCAAAAAGGCACTCGCAGCTCAGGAAGCAGCTGTTGGTACCACACTTCCGGGTCAAGGTACCACCATCAATGTTGGCGATGCATCTGGGAATACAAAGAGAGGCTGCTGCTCCACTTAGTGTGAAATTTGAGGGAAAAAGTGTTGGTAGCAGATAGTATTTTTTTCCCCCCAATTCTGTTTTGCCCCTTTCTCTTTTTTATCCTTTTTTTTTTCTTTTCTTTTCCTTTTCTTTTTCTTTATGGGTGAGAGAGACACATGTAGAGTACATTTACTCCATTGAGTTGCAAAAACGAAGTCTGTGAAATTTATAAAACAATAGTCTTGCTAGTTGCTTTGGATTATCTATTCCGTGATGTGATAGTTTCTCATGAGTTAATGTAATATTCGAATGGACAGAAATTGATGATATAGTGTGATGGTTAATGGTAATCTAACATTTCAGAGAGGTCATGTAAGATTACACGTATTTTCTAGTTTTGGTCGATACACTGTTGTTACAAGGCTAAATTTGTGACCTGCTTGACAAAGTATACGATAATCTCTCTTGCAATCTCTTCTTTCACCCACGGAAAGCTGATTCAGGAGGTAAAATCTAGCACCTACCTCTTTTGCAAATAGATTTGGTCAAGTGGAACCAATTTTATTTGGTCATTATAATTTAAATTGCAATAACGTTGGAAATTTTGTATTGTGGAATCCATACACTTGTCAAACAGAATACAACACCAGATTGCTTGTCTAGGATATCAATCTCCAATGTTTTTATTTTGTTTGCTGTTTTCCAATGGAAAACCATAGTTTCACATTGGTAACCCATGTAGTAAAGGTTGATGTTAGAAATTGGTACAAGGAAAATAATTAAATTTTATTTAAACAGGTGGTAGGACCTTTCAACATTTACATTTTCTTGTATTTTGATTGTTTACGGTGTGCTTCGTTGCAAATTTAGGGATACTTGAGGTTCATGTACAGAGAACAGTTTTGTTGTCTATTCCGTTTGACAACCTACACTATCTGTGATATGAATCACAAGGGGTAATTTAGGATCTTTAGTGTTAGAACCTTCTAAGAAATTTAGGAATTAGAAAGAAGGTGGAAGGAAAAAATCACTCTTCCCAAGAGAGACAACACACAAAGGATGTGAAAGTCCTTTGATATAGCCAAAGGTTCTTGAATCATTCAAGAATTTAGAAGAATTACTCTCATTAAGATAAAAGAGATAAATTCTAATATTTTTGAATAAAATTTTACTACTTAATGACGGATTGTATCTGAAACTGTGACAACTAAAAGTCAATCAGCTATGCACCCCTTGATCTCCCAAAGGCTGATGACTAAATTTTCAATTGGGTCCTTATTACAACTTAAAACAAAATTAAACTAAAGTTCATTAATTGATTAATTCAAAACATAATTTGGTCATCCAACAATACTTGTTGATGAACTTCATTTGCTTCCTTTGATCTAATCCTTGTCATACGTCATATCCACATCATTCTCTCCCTTTTGAGAAAGATTTGTCCTCAAATCGAATTCGCCATCTACATAAAAAAGAGATAAGTTTGACAAATTGAATATAAAATTAACATTATACTCACTTTTTATGGTTAAATAATTCCCCCTCACTTTAAGTGTTTCACTTTTCTTTTGATCACTCTTTTTCCTCTCAAGTGTTTCACTGACGCTTTCTTTCTCTCTCTTTTCTTGAAGAAATTTTTCTCTCATTTTCTTTTTATCCTCGCATACTTCTTGTGGACTTAAAGGTTTGAGCACAATCTTCTTGTCATGGTGCATGAAAGAGATTTTGCTGGTGAACCCGTTATGATTATCTCTTTTATCAAATTTCCATGGTCTCCCCAAAAGTAAGTGACTAACTTCCATAAGAACAATATCACAAAGCACCTTATCATTATATTTTCCAATGGAAATGTCCACTTCAACTTGTTGTCTCACTTGCACCACTTCATCCTTACTAAGCCATTGAAGTTTATATGGCCTAGGATGTGGTTTGGTAGCTAAATTTAGTTTTGATACTAATCTAGCACTAGTCACATTGGTGCAACTACCTCCATCTATGATCATCATACACACCTTGTCATTGATTAAACATCTAGTGTGAAAAATATTTTTTCTTTGGCTTTCTTCCATAGGTTTCAATTGGCTATCAAGTAATCGCCTAATCATCAATAAATTTCCCTTTGAAATCTCCTCCTCCTCAATGTCTTCACTCTTTTCTCCCTCTTCAACCTCAGATTCACTTATATATTCTCCCTTTCTAAGAACCATGGTCTTTGTGTTAGGGCACTCATAAGCATAGTATCCTAGGCTTTGACACTTGAAACACTTCACATCTCTACTTTTTTTAGAGGGTTGTTCTTCATATTTTGAATGAATCTTTGTAGGAATAAGTGTGGAACTACTAGAAGTAACAATCTCATCTTTCTTACCTTTGTCCTTCCTACTTGAAAATCCAAAGTTGGTAGAACTCTTCTTAGTCACTTCTTTTCTTTTGAGTTGTTACTCCACTCGAATTACTTTATGAATTAAATCCTCCATATCAACAAACTCCTGCAACTCAACAATATCACATATATCAATATTCAAACCACCAATAAATCGGGCCATAGTTACCTCTTCATTTTCTTCAATCTTTACTTGAATCGTGAACATGTCCATTTCTTTGAAATACTCCTCAACCCCCTTGTTGCCTTGAGTAAGTTTTTGGAGTTTAAATTTCAAGTCCCTTGCATAACTAGCTGACACATATCGCTTCCTCATGATCCTTTTCATATCAGTCCATGTATCAACCATTGATTCTTCATTTGTATCTCTTTCCTTTTGTAGCTTGTTCCACCAAACAAGAGCATAGTCAGAAAATTCTTTTGTTGCAAGCCTCACCTTTTGGGTCTCCTCATAATTGTTGTATGAGAAAACATGTTTTATTTTCATCTCCCACTCCAAGTATGCCTCCGGATCACTTTTTTCTTTGAACGGAGGAATGCTAAGCTTGACTCCTTCAAGCCTACTTGATCTTACTACTCCATCATTCCTTCTTCTCCTATTTCTCCTTTCTTCTTCGTCTTCAGGATTTTTATTCTCCAACCGGTTTAATTGTTCATGAAGCCCATTGTTATGTCGTATCACTAATCCTTCCAAATGTTGTACCAATGCTCTCATTTGAAATGGACTAATTCCTATTTCTTGATTGTAATTTTCCTCTTCTGCCATCAATTTGATGTTTAAACCCTTAAACCGGAGCTCTGAATACCAAATGATATGAATTACAAGGGGTAATTTAGGATCTTTAGGGTAGAACCTTGTAAGATATTTAAGAATTAGAAAGAAAGTGGAAGGAAAAAATCACTCTTCCCAAGGGAGGCAACACACAAAGGATGTGAAAGTCCTTTGATACAGCAAAAGATTCTTGAATCACTCAAGAATTTAGGAAAATCACTCTCACTAAAATAAAATAGATAAACTATAATATTTCTGAATAAAATTTTACTACTTAATGACTGATTGTATCTGAAACTGTGGCAATCAAAAGTCAATCAGCTATCTTAAAACAAAATCAAACTAAAGCCCATTAATTGATTAATTCAAAACATAATTTGGTCAACCAACAATACTTGTTGATGAACTTCATTTGCTTCCCTTAACCCTTGTCATAAATCATATCCACATCGATTAGGTAACAGCGTTACAAATTTAATGCAATAATTTTTTGTTTAATGTAATGTTTGTTTTACACTAGAAAACATCATACAAACATTTTACTTTTATGCAATTATTTTAATATTTTATTTGAAATTTTTCACAATCTAATCTTCATATTATTATATTAGTTAACCGATACTGTGACGTAATAATTAAACATTATATATCTACACATTGTAGGGATGATAATGTAATGAAGAACCCATTATTGATCTGCCTTATATGTGAAAATGTCAGCAACAAATTACATTGCAGTGGACGAAATTTGTTTCCTATAAAACTCGTAGCTGGGAAAAAAGAATTAACATGAGTGGATTTTGTAACAGACCAAATGTGCGTCGGACAAAATTGATAAATGTTAGTAACACTCTTCCCAGGATGGAGCCAGGTAACATGGAGAAGTCATCGTCCCTCCTCTAATATTCATAACTCTTTCTAAGTTATATATATATATATATATATATATTATTTTTTTTTTTAATTTCTCCTCCTAAAAAAATGTGTTGGTCCCCTTTCATTCACAAGAAATTCTGCCTCCATCAAGAGTGACCTTCCCTGTGTATAACTATACTTGTTTGCCAATGATTAGTACCTCTTCCCCTATTGCTAATGGTACCCAACTAGTTGCCTGTACCTTTTCACTGAGTTGACCAGCCCACCCGAGGATGGCCAGTCTCCCTCCTCCCCAACTTGACATTAGGCATGCAAATCCTCATCTATGGGTGTTGTAGCTTTAAATCCGTGACAGTGATTTCTTCATATTCATCCACACATTATGCTCCTCAGTTAATGCTGTTTATTCTGAGTGTTAAGGAGAACAGGGGAAGTAAGGATGGAAGGAAAGAATTGTGGTACAAAGAAGAGGATATTATGAGAGGAAAAAATAACTGACAATTATTTACTTCTGGATATGTTGTGTGTATAGTCTTTTTGAGTTGCAAATTTTTAAACTTTTGTCATATGCTTAGCAATTTTAAAATCAAACACGAAACAATTTTTGTGCTCTCTTTATCTTTTTTTGAATCGTTATGACGAGGCATCAGCCAACTATTCATAAGAACGGAAAGACAATTTGGCATTACTCAATTTGTATAGTTACATGTTGTATTTGATATGTTTGTTCACAGTAATGTTTAACCGTGCCTAGTAAATCAATAGAACTTATGCCAGGCTCAGCCACTACATGGCAAGATAGAACAAATTTTCCAGTAGTTATAGCCCAAACGTGCAAGTCATGAACATCCTGTACTCCCTTGATATTTCTAATGCCAGTTTCCAGCTTGTTCATATCGATCTCACTTGGTGCCCTTTCCATCAGAATGCCATAAACATTCCTAAGCATGGGCAAGGTAGTACTTAAAGATAAAACAGAGAATAGAAGAGTACACACAAGGTCAACTATAAACCACTCAGGTTCAGCCCAAATTATGGCTCCAGAAATCATCACTCCAATAGATTGAATCATATCAGCCATGACATGCAAATACGCCCCCTGGAGATTTATGTTCAAGACATTAGTTTTATTGTGACTACTTGAAACCAGGCTAACATTCTCCTCATCAGTTATTCTAGATGGTTCCTCGTTCCCATGATCATGACCAGAGCCTTGACAACCATGATGATGGTGATGATGATGATGATGACCATGATCATGACCAATCCATGCAACCATGATAAAGTTAAGAACAAACCCAACTGTTGCAATTGCAAGCATGAGCTTTCCGTTCACACTCTCATTTTGTACAAAAATTCTACCAATTGCTTCATATATCAAAAAACCAGATATCAACCAAATTAACTGCACAGATATAAGAGCCCCCAAAACCTCGAGACGATTGTATCCGAAAGATTGATGCGGTGTAGCCTCCCAACATGAAGCCCACACTGCAAAGAGAGAGATAGAGAACCCAGCAATATCAGAAAGCAAGTGTGCTGCATCACTGATAACAGCTAGGCTGTGAGCTTTTATTCCACCAATAAGTTCCACAACCATGACTATAGCATAGAAAACAATGAGTCCACAAAGTTTCTTTGCTGACTTTGAAGACTCTATTGATGCCACAACACTGTTTTCATGCCCAGAAAAAGGACAACCAGAACTGCAAGATAAATCTGCCTTCATAGGGAGAACATCAAGTCTTTCAGATGCAATGGGTATCTCAATTTCCTGCATTATCCTTTCTTCCACCAAGTTAGGGGCTTTCTCGTGGTCCATTTGCTTCAGCAATCTGGGTATTTATAAACCCTAAACAAACCATGAAAATCATTTAGAAAAAGTCATCAAGGCTCAGTCGGTTGTAAGATTGCCACACCAACATCAGGATAAGCATTCAAATTTAAATTCCTACGTAGAAACAGCCATAACTTGGTAAATTATACATCTTTTACGATTTCAAACTGAAGCAATAACATAAAATAAGGTAAAAATGACATATTAGCGGGTCAATTATAAATTAGACTACGTCAATTTCGAGATATTAAGGGTTGTTGGGAAAATCACTGAACGAGGCAAAGCTACAGGCACGCCAATTACATCATCAGAGGAATAAGTATTCTGACACGTCATAAATTTGCGTTAATCTGAAACTTCAATTACCTTAGAAGACAAAGCACCATCAGGCATGAAAGCCAAGAAATGTGAGTTATTTAGTGTCCATAGTTAAAGAACAAGAACAAATTTGCAGAAAAGAAGAGGACGGCAAATGGTAAAATAAATAAATAAATCGTACCAGTAGAAGTGAGGCGGTATGGGACCCGAGAATGGATAGGAAATTGAGAATTGTTTCGGGGATTGAGGGCTTAGGTTAGGGGAAGGGGGAGATCGAAAGGAAAAGAAAAAGGAAGAAAAACATGTTTACGTTGATGTTGACGATGAATTTAACGTTGTCGTGGGACACATCTTTCGGCGGGGAGTTAGCTATAGCCGGCAAAAACATGGTACAGACATATTTTTTTTTTTCTTTTTAAGAGAGAATAATACGTTCTTTTATTGTAAATAATTCCGTACTTGTTTGAATTTAATTGCTTCGCCCAGATTAATTTTTTTATTTTTATTAATTGATAGTCAATAAATAATTTGGATCTGTCTTTTGTTGCAATAGACAAAAAGGATTATGCAATGTTATCAATAGAAAGTAAGTTGTTTAATTCGGTATCTTGAATTTTAAGACGATATAATACTCTTTATTCTTAACTATTTTTTATATTATTTGAGAAAAATACAATTTTAGTCACTCATAAGAAAATAATTTTAATTTCTCTATTTTAGCAAGTCAATCAATTCATAACGAATCATAAGTTAAAGTATCTTTTTTTTAATTGAATTAACAAATGATATTATATTATTTCATATATTAAATTGATAACTACAATATTACTATTACAATGTATGAACTCCATTATCCATTTATTCTTGAAGAGTGGTATTATGGACTGAAACGTTGGACTGGAGTGAGAATGAAATTAACGTAGTTCAGCCCAAAATATCAGAGAACCGAGGTTGCAGAATCATTCGACATTTGCTTTTCTTCTGAACTTTCTGTCTGAGATCATAGTAGACGCCATCTTTTTGTTCTTTTACTTCTTCAGTCCCATATTTCTGTTGCTATTTAAGCGACAGGGTAAAGGGATGGCGAGTCGTTCCTTCTCAAAAGTTTGGAAAATCCGTCATTTTGCTTCTTCATTGGTGGGAGAGTTTACGAGAAGTAGCAAACTCATCAAATTCGGATCAACTTCATTGCCCTTTTTTTAATGTAGTTCATTGAAAACGGCGTCGTCTTGGAGACAGTACCACGACGGAAGACCGAGAGGGCCCCTTTGGAGGGGAAAGAAACTCATTGGCAAAGAAGCTCTCTTTGTGATACTGGGGTTGGAGAGGTTTAAGGATGACGAGGATAAGCTTCACAAGTTCATCAAAACTCACGCCCTCAGACTGTTGAAGATGGACATGATAGCTGTTCTCATTGAACTTGAGCGCCAAGAACAAGTTTCTCGCGCTCTCATGGTTTGCACTTATCTAATTCTTTTACATTTTTAATTCTCATGTTCTTTACCCACAACTTGCTTGTCATAATGCTTCTTAGTTGGAACCTGTTTGTTATAGTGATTAATTAGGGCAACTATTTTAAGGTTTAATTCATCGCACGTCCTAGATCTTCTGTAATATCTGTAATTAGGTTCTCACAAATTATTTTTTTTTTCTGGTTATTTCAAACCATCGTAAATTAACTTGAGGGACTCAAATATAAAATTGTATAATAAAGTACCTAATTAAAATTCCCTAAAAGTTTACGACATACTGATATGTTCAACCTTATTATAACTCTGCACTACTTATGGTATTGAGGTTACAAGTAACTAACTGAATGAATTTTCAGATGTTTAAGGTTATGCGAAAGCAAGATCTATTAGGAAGTAATCATTGCATTGGCAAGGTAAAAAAAATAAAAAATGAAGTATTCCAATTGTGGGAAAGTATGCGAAAGGAAAATTTGTCCCCTGATTCTCAGACTTATACTGAAGGCATAAGGGGCTTCTTGAACAAAGGATCTCCTGCTGATGCAATGAACATATATCAGGACATGAAGAATTCTCCGGTTCCACCTGATGAGTGCCATTCAAAATTTTGTTGAAAGGACTCATGCCACATCCTCTTTTGAGAAACAAAGTGAAACAAGATTTCAAGGAGATTTTTCCTGATTCAAGTATCTATGATCCACTACAAGAGAAATTTGGCTCGCGCTGAGGATTTAACCCTTTACTTTGTCATCGCGAGTTTGAAAATATTTGCTTTCAAATAAATATGGTGTTCTTAGGTGCTGTGCTCATGAGCAGAGTTACGTGCAAAGTCAACGAGTTTCATGCGAAAGAATTTCTGAATATACTTTATATGTTTGTGGTGTAAGACATTACGTAGTTTTCCTACGTTCTTAATTCATTATAGAAAACTACTCTACAAGATCTTTAGATTATTGATTTTTCATAATTTTACATACATCAATACATGAATTATAGTAAGAAGACTAACCTTGATTCATGAGAATCTTTTCTTTGATCTTTTCGTTCTCCTATCTCCTTTTCCCAATCTATCTCTTTGCCTTTCTTTCTCTTCTCACGCTTCGCTTTCTTGATGGTTTACTGTGAAAAAACCTTATGGCGGAGACGAGAACCCTAATCCTTTTTATTAACCAACGTCCATCAAGTTGGTTACCAGTAAGTTAATATTTTATTTTATCTTTATTTTATTTTGACTTCACATAATAACCAATAGGTCCTCATATTTTATTAAATCACATTTGGGCCCATTATTATATTTCACATGAGTCACATAATGGAATGAATTAATTAAATTAATTCTAACATTCTCCCACTTGACTCATGTGATGTCATACGATTACGTGATTTAATACTTAAGTCATAATGCGCATTAAAGGACCTTACATAAATTGGTTCTATCATTATTCATAATTAAAGATACAGCTATAACAAGAGTCATGGCGGTTACATGTCATTCAATCGACAGGCTCCCTTCCATGTACTACTATATTATCTCTTTCTCCTTAATATGACTTTATAATGAGAAGTCCATAATGGGTTCAAACATAATATCATTTTAAAAATAATAACATAATTTGTTTTCTTCATCATAATTTGCATGCATATAAATAAAGAAGAAAACACAAATTTCAGAAACTTATACGTTAAAGATCTCAGAGTGTCACATAAACATTAATAATAATATTAACATTCAACATTCACTACTAGTAAACATAATGCCCATATTTACTATATGGCCAGCAAACAACTTGGGCGGTAATCCCTTTGTTAAAGGATCAACAATCATAAGATCAGTGCTAATATGTTCTATTGACACTCTTTGTTTCGAACTTCTTCTTTAACGGCAAAATATTTCAATTCCATATGCTTAGCACCTTTGGAATACTTGTCGTTCTTAGAAAAGAAGGCTAGCTGCGGAATTGTCACAATAAATTTTCAGCGGCTTGGCAATGTCGTCGACTACTCCAAGTCACGAAATAAAATTCCGCAACCAATTAGCTTGAGCTGTGGCCTCAAAGCATGCCACAAATTCAGCTTCCATGGTGGATGCAGCAATGACAGACTGCTTCGCACTTTTCCATGAAATCGCTCCTCCGGCTAAAAGATACACATAACCAAATGTAGACTTTCGTGTATCCATACAACCGAGCAAAATGCGAATCTGTATATCCAATCACCTCAAGGTGATCAACTTTCCTATAAGTAAGCATGTGATTCTTTGTTCCTTGTAAGTATCTTAAAACTTTCTTTGCGGCCTTCCAATGATCCAGTCCAGGATTACTCCGGTATCTACCAAGCATACCAAGCTGCAAAACTAATATCGGCCTCGTACATGTTTGAGCATACATCAAACTCCCAACAACAGATGCATAAGGGATATTTTCCATCTGTTTCAGTTCCAAGTCATTCTTTGGACATTGCATGAGACTAAATTTGTCTCCTTTACGTATTGGAACGGGAGATGCGAGAACAATTCTCCATTCTGAATCTCTCTAAAACTTTATTAATATATGCTTTACGAGACAAACCTAACATTCCTTGTGATCTATCACGGAATATTTCTATTCCTATCACATAGTATGCCTCACCCATATCTTTCATTTCAAAGTTGTTAGAGAGAAACTTCTTAGTCTCACTTAATAGACCAAGATCATTAGTCGCAAACAAGATATCATCAACATACAAAATCGAAATATAAACTTACTCCTACTGACCTTCAAATATATGCACCGATCAACAGTGTTTTCCTTAAATCCAAAGGACAAAATAGTATCATTGAACTTAAGATACCATTGTCGAGAAGCTTGTTTAAGTCCATATATTGATTTCTTAAGTTTACACACCATATGTTCCTTTCCTTCTTCAATAAACCCCACTGGTTGATTCATATAAACATCCTCCTCTAAATTTCCATTCAGAAAAGCAGTTTTAACATCCATTTGATGCAACTCAAGATCATAATGAGCTACTAATGCCATGATAATTCTAAAGGAATCTTTCTTAGAAACAGGTGAAAATGTTTCCTTATAATCAATACCATATTTTTGAGTAAAACCTTTGACAACATGACGGGCCTTGTAACGTTCGATATTGCCATGAGAGTCACGCTTAGTCTTAAAGACCCATTTACACCCAACACTCTTACATCCTTACGGCAATTCCACAAGATCCCATACACCATTATATGTCATTGATTTAAGCTCATCTTTCATAGCATCTAACCATTTATCGGAATTATCACCATTAATGGCATCCGAAAATGAAACTGGTTCATTATCAATACTTAGGTCATTTTCGACTCTTGTAGATAAACCACATAATCATTCGAAATAGCGAGACTTTCTTTCTCTGTGAGATCTTCTTAATACTATTTCCTGTGGTTGTTCTATTATCGGATCATTGTTAATCGCGAGGATCATTAATTTGTTGTTCTTCTTGATTGTCGTGTGATTCTACAACATTTGGAACAACAACTCTTGAAGATGTACTAGTTATTGGAACTTGTACTCTAACTTCCTTAATCTCCACATTTCGTGAAACTTCACTCCCACTTGGTTTCACCATTTTCAATGAACCAGAGCATTTCCAGTTTCAACAATTCTTGTACTATGAGTAGGACAGGTAAAACATATACCCCTTTGATTTTTCTGGATAACCAATGAAATATCCATTGATTGTTCTTGCATCCAGTTTCTTTTCTTGCGGATTATAAATTCTTACTTCTGCCTGACAACCCCAAACATGTAGGTGTCTTAAACTGGGTTTCCTACTTGTCCATAACTCAAAAGGAGTCTTTTGAACCGCTTTACTAGGAACCCTATTCAACAGATACATGGCAGTCTTCAAAGCATACATCCACAACGATAGAGGTAAACATGAATTACTCAACATACTCCTAACCATATCCATTAATGTTCGATTACGCCTTTCAGATACACCATTTTGCTGTGGTGTACCTGGCATTGTGTGTTGAGCACAAATACCATGCTTCTCAAGGAACTTAGCAAACGGACCAGGGTGTTGTCCACTTTCATCATATCTTCCATAATACTCACCACCTCTATCTGACCTGACAATTTTCACCTTTTGTCTAATTGCCTCTCCACTTCGTTTATATAACTTTCTAAGGCATTTACTGCTTGAGATTTCTTATATAGTAAATAGACATATCCATAACGCGATAAATCGTCAATGAAAGTGATGAAATACTTCTCTTTATTAAAAGAATTTACGTCAAATGGACCACATATATCAGTGTGTATGATTTCAAGAAGTTAAGTGCTTTTTATGACTCCTTTCTTTGTGTGTTTTGTTTGTTTACCTTTAATACAATCCACACATACATTCAGATCAGTAAAATCTAAATCCGGAAGGATTTCATTCTTTACTAATCTTTTCATTCTTTCTTTGGAAATATGTCCCAAACGCTTATGCCACAAATAAGCAGATCTTTCATCCACCAAACTACGTTTAGTGCCAACATTATGATGCAAGGTCATGAGAGTTTCAGCATATAAATTATCCAAATTCAATTTATATAAACCATCATAAAGTGTACCAGTTCCAATCATACATGTATGCTTAAATAAACTGAAACAACTATTCCCAAACTTAAAAGAGTATCCAGCAACATCAAGCTTAGACAAAGAAACTAAATTTCTAGTGATACTAGGTACATAAAAAGTATCCATAAGGTCTAAGTGATATCCAGTGTCAAGGATTAAACGATAAGTCCCGACAGCTTCCACTGGAACCTTGACTTTATTCCCCATGAAGACGAACTTCTCATTTGGGTTTATGGTTCGGGTTGAAAGGAATCCCTGCATCACATTAGAAACATGAGTTGTACATCCAGAATCAATCCACCAAGTATTATGGGGAACCTCAGTTAAATTTGATTCAAAACATACGTAAGCACTATGCTCACCTTTCTTTTCGAACCAAGCTTTACGCTTTAAACAGTCCTTCTGAAAATGTCCAGACTTCCTGCAGAAATGACATTTGTCATTTTTCTTCTGAATGTTAGTAGAGGACTCGTTAATCTTTAATGGTCCTTTACCCTTTCCATGTTTCTTAACAACTTTCTTTTTAGCTCCTTGATTTTTCACGTAATGAATAGAGTGGCTTCCTAGGTTCTTGAGTCTGGTCTCCTCCTGAACTAACATACTGTGCAATTCATGCACATTCCATTTGTCTTTCATGGTGTTATAATTCATCTGAAACGGACCATACTCAGGTGGTAACGAGTTCAAAATGAACTGCACAAGAAAAATTTCTTCCACTGCCATTCCAAGAGACTTGAGTCTTGCTGCGATATTTGTCATTTCGATTACGTGTTCATGCATACTACGAGAACCATCAAACTTCATGGTGGTCAACGTACTCATCAATGTCCCAGCGAGGGATTTGTCAGCAGTTTGAGAGCGCTCTTCCACAAATTTCATAAACTCTTTCACATCCTCAGTTTTGGGAAGAGCAGATTTAATATTGCTTGCTACACTCATTCGCATAAACATAAGACTAAGTCTGTTTGATCTTTCCCAAACTCTATAATGAGTTTTCTCTTCATTACTAC